ATAAGTTTTTAATATAAACAAAGGTAGTTTTAAAAAAAAAACTTATACGAAAGTCTTCATTTTCATTAATAAAATCGCCCAGGAGTTTTTCTACCGACTTCAAACAGGTGGAGGTACTCAATTCGACTGTAAGTTTTCTTTTTTTATGTGTGTTACCTCATACATTTTTCTGGGTGAACCGATTTCGATAGTACGCTGTATGAGAGGGACAGATATTCTCCATGAGCTTACTATTTTCGAGGTCTCCTATAGTCAGCGGTGGGATAGATTGCTGCTCTCCAGAAAGCAGCTCTCTTGGTTTTAATTAGGTTGCTAAAATGTAGGGGAAGACCATCATTATTAGCAAGCGGGACGACCTTTCATTCTCCTTAAGGGAGGATTTTATAAGGGTAGAGAGAGAATTGACCGCGGAGTCGATTTTTTCGGGACTGTCAAAGCGTACTATCAGATGGCAATAGACGCTAGACGCTATCACCCACACTCCCCCTCTCTCCCGTCCCAACGATACGGTTGCCTTCGAGGACGAGGAAAAGGCTGAATGCTTTGCAGACAGCATTGCCACACAATGCTCTCCTAGCTCTCAATCCACCGACCCCTCCCACATCCAGACAGTGGAGGGTAAGGTCCGCCGCGGGAACTCACCCCCCACAGCTTCTGACCCTATCACTATGTCCAATGATTAGATTTCATCCCTCATCAAAGGATTTAAGCCCGAAAAGGCTCCTGGCGCGGATGGAATCTTTAACCAAGCCGTTAAACATTTCCCTAATTAGGTGTTAACCCTTTTAACTATTATCTTCCACGCCTATTTCAACCTTACCTTGACAGTCGTATGCCAGGGGGCAGGGGTCCCTAGCATACGGATTGGTGGAATGTTATTAAGGCGGCGTCGTTTATGATCCAAGTGATCGGCGTCGCTCTTCTCCGGGTTCACAATGGATGCGCCATTTTTGGAACCAAGCTCCTCATCATCCAAGTCATCAACTTACTTTTGGATCTGGCTCCGTATGAAAGGTAGTGAGATATCATTACAAAAGAGGGCAGTGTCGTCTGCGAACAGGGAGAGCTGAACACCTTTCAACTGGATGGGTATGTCGTTGGTGAACAGGATATATAGGAGAGGGTACTGAGAGGACAGCGTGCCTTCGTGTCTAAAACGAAAGTTACGATCCTTTAGGTAAGAGGCCATAAGACGTACAAGACAATCAGGGAGACCTATTTTATATAGTTTGTAGATAAGGCCTTTGTACGAGTACCAGACTCTATGAAAAGCTTTTGCAATGTCGAAAAAGACCGCGATGGTCTTATGACGACGACGATAGAAACCGCTGAGGATATATTCCACAATACGGTGAACTTGTTGGGGACAAGAATGTTTCGCTCGGAAACCAAATTGGTGGGGGATGAATAGAGGGTCGCCGTCTGCGGGATAAAGATGGAGCCTCATGTGAGTAAGGATGACTTGTTCAAAGAGTTTGCCCATGGCCTTGAGGAGGCTGATGGGACGATGACTGGTAGACGAGGTTGAAAGGCTTCCCTGGCTTGGGAATACCAATGACAGTTGCCTCTTTCCACGCGGTGGGAAAGATACTAAAGTTGAAATAGGTATTGAAGAGGGGCCGAGGGCTCTTGGCTTAACTGCCTGGAGTCGCGAGGATGATAACCTCTTTAAAAAATCACCTGAAGCTCAAGCGTGGCACGCCGTGAGGAGTTACATGGCTGATGGGTAAATGTTCAGTCGTTAGCGTTGCCCCCGTCGGGGTACCGGCCGACACCCTTGACGGGTTACGCATAGGCTTATCCGGGCAAAGGAGGCGCTGCTCAGATGGACCGTTATTTCCTCCATACTCGTGGGATGAAAATGTAAAATAATAAATATTTAAAAACAAAAAAAAACTGTAGAGATCGAAAATCAGGCCGGATTAGATACTGGAAGCGGTGGAAATCGGTCGCGTGGGACGTCTTCCGCTAGGAAACGTCCAGTGTGCCGGTCTTCAGAAGAGGAAGGCCTGCTGGCCCCCAAGTTGCCAATTTCGGGGAGGGGTTGGCAGGCATCGAGAGGGGCGAATGCTTCGCAGCCGCGGAGGGATAAGCACGGACGGTTCGTGTGCTCCAATACCACGGCGGCTAGTGAAGCAGAAAGTGACATGGGGTTCACTACGGAGGACCCTGGCGATGGCGGTGAAAGCTGTGCCTCGCTGGGAAGCTCAAAGGCGGAGCTCAACGCCGCCAAGAGGGAGCAGCGTAAAGCCGTCGCGGCCGACGAAGTATCGGAAACGGCCCGACGCGCTCGCAAGCGACGAGCTGCTCTTGCAGCGGAAGGGGGAGAGCCATCTGCGATGGCCTTGAGCCAGCTGGCTCTGGATGGGGTGGACTTAGTCCTGAAAGTTGCCACCAAGTCTGGCAGCCTGAAGGGCACGTTCACCCGTGGCTTAAAGGAGGCTGCCGCGAATATTAGGGAGGCGGTTGGCAACCTCCTCAACAGGACGGCCTCTGACGAGGTCGCAAAGTTACAAGAGGAAAATAGCCGCCTCAGAAAAGACTTGGAGGACCTCCGGCGGCAAGTAGCTGTGCTGAGCGAAGAGCAGCAGCGACGCACATCCACCGATGCCACACCTGTAATGGCCCCGACTCTCGCATCGTGACCGGCAAGCCCTCGTACCGACGAAGAGGTCGAGCGCATTGTCCGTATCTGCATGCTCCAGTACGGCAGCATGGTTAACGCTCAGCTGGAGGCGATTTCACGGCGTCTCCCGGCGGAAATCCTCCGTCCACCTTTGGCGGCGGATACACGGAGGAGCCGCCTAGACTTGAGCCTCAAAAGGGGAAGCACGCAGAGGGTAACAAAAGCCCGCGGAGGGAGCTCCTTCGAGCGAGCAGCCCACGACTGTCGGATCTAAGGGTGAGACCTGGGCAAAAGTCGTGGGCTGCAAAAAGGCCCGCAAAGCCGCCAAGAAGGCTGCAGCAGCTGCATGCGCCCCAGGTGGAACCGCAAAGACGGCTCCTCAACCTCCGCGGCGGACTGCCAAAGGCGGTCGCAAGTGACCGGCTGTGCATGTTCCGCGGTCCAACGCTGTAACGCTAACGTTGCAGCCCGGAGCTGTGGAGCGTGGCGTGACGTACCAGTCGGTCATCGCCGAGGCCAAGGCCAAGATCAAATTATCAGATCTTGGCCTTCAATCCGTCACCCTCAGGCAGGCTACCACGGGTGCGCGGCTGTTCGAGGTGGCTGGTACTGTGAGCGGCAGTGCCGATAAGGCGGACGCACTGGCCGCCAAGATGAGGGAGGTCCTCAACCCTGAGGACGTCCAGGTCTCCAGACCAAAGAACACCGCAGAGGTGCGGATTGCTGGCCTGGACGACTCCGTGACCTCTGAGGAGGTGGTGGCGGCCGTTGCGAGAAGCGGAGAGTGTCCGCCGGACAAGGTGCGGGCTGGCGATATACGCACCGATGCCACCGGACTCGGCGTGGTCTGGGTTCGGTGCCCTGTGGCGTTGGCGGAGAAGATCGCTGATAGCGGCAGATTGCTGGTAGGCTGGTTGGCGGCAAGGACCAAGCTTCTACAGCCCCGGCCTTTGCAGTGCTTCCGGTGCCTGGAAAAAGGGCACGTCCGGGCGAGGTGCACCGCCGAGGTTGACCGTAGTGACCTCTGTTATCGCTGCAGCCAGCCTGGCCACAAGGCGGCCCTGTGCACCGCGGCGTTCAACTGCAGCCTTTGTTCTGCTGCGGGAAGGCCTGTAGAGCACAGAGTAGGCGGAGGGGCCTGTGGGGCGCCTACCATCAAGGCCAAAAAGAAAAAGGAAATGAAGAGGAGCACTAAGCCTGCCGGGTTAACCTCGCTGCCCCCGCAGGCTAGCAGCTCCGCGGCCTCCCGGCCCAGGACTGTTGCCGAGGGGATGGAATGTCAGTAATGGCACAATTTCATTCTCTTATTTCTCCAGGGTAACATCAACCTCTGTGCCAGAGCTCAGGATCTCCTCCAGAGCATGGCAGAGTGGTCGATTCACGTGGCTGTGGTCGCCGAACCGTACTTCATTCCCGCCCGTGACAACTGGCTGGGATGCGCTGACGGTTTGGTGGCCATTATTGGCGAGACTCTGATCGACCTGTCTCGGGGCCGTAGCTGCGTTGCTGCGGTCTCAGGCGGCATTGTTATTGTAGGGGCGTATTTCTCCCCCAACAAGAGTCTCGCCAACTTTGAGGGTTTCTTTGTCGAGTTGAGCGCCGTCGTAGGCCGCTATCACCCTCGTCCCGTCCGAGCACCAGGCTCGGGGATCTCAATGCCAAGTCATCGGCGTGGGGATCTCCGGTCACTGAACCTCGGGGCGAGGTACTAGAAGAGTGGTCGGTGACGACTGGTCTGGTCGTCCTGAATCGGGGTTCGGAATACACGTGCGTGCGGCAGCGGGGTGGGTCGATAGTGGACGTCTCGTTTGCTAGCCCCTCTGTCGCCAGCCGAGTCCGCGACTGGCGTGTCGCCGCAGAGGTGGAGACGCTGTCGGACCATCGGTATATCCGGTTCAACGTCTCTGCCAAGACTGCGAGCGGCCGCCATCCAACAACCCCGATTAACAACGGCCCGCGTTGGGCGCTTAAGCGCATTGACTCGAGGAAGCTGCTTTAGTCCAGTCCTGGATCTGGGAGTCGACGACGGATGGTTCCGTCAACGTCGAAGCGGTGGCGCTATGGTTTCGCGGGGCGATGACGCAGATCTGCGACGCGTCCATGCCCCGTGTCCGCCAACGGTCCGCAAGGCGCCAGGTGTACTGGTGGACCGCCATGTCGCCGATGACCGCTGGCCATCGGCGACTCAAAGTCACGTGCCAGGGAGGAGCTGCTGGGGTCCCTAGATCGGGATCCGTGGGGGCGTCCCTACCGTTGCGTACGGGGCAAGTTGCGTCACTGGGCGCCTCCACTAACACAAAGCATGCAACTCCAGTTGCTAGAGGCGGTGGTATCGGCTCTCTTCCCTGAGCGAGTGGGACACGTTCCCCCGGCGATGGCTTCGCCCTCAGCCACAGACTCTCCAGAAGAGGAAAGCACCGATGTCCCCGAGTTGACGCAAACAGAGACGAGAGCGGCCGTGTCGCGACTCCGGGCTAAGAACACAGCGCCCGGACCCGACGAAGTTCCTGGTCGAGCTCTCGTCCTGGCTCTGAAGGAGCTAGAGCCCCAGCTGAGGGGGCTCTTCATGGCATGCCTCGAGCAGGGTCAGTTTCCCAGTGTGTGGAAGGAGGGGAGGCTGGTCCTGCTCAGGAAGGAGGGGCGCCCCGCGGACTCACCGTCCGCGTACCGGCCCATAGTGCTGCTCGACGAGGCAGGCAAACTTTTTGAGCGTATCATCGCAGATCGCCTCGTCAGCCACTTGTGCAGAGAGGGGCCGGACCTGGACGAGAACCAGTTTGGTTTTCGTCGCGGGCGCTCCACCATAGACGCTATTACGAGCGTGAGGGCCCTGGCGAAGGAGACAATATCCCGGGGTGGGGTGGTGCTGGCGGTGTCTTTAGACACCTCCAACGCCTTCTCACCCTACCCTGGAGTTGCATTCGGGAGGCACTGAATTACCATCGCGTGCTTCCCTACCTCCGCCGCATAATAGGGGCTTACCTTGAGGAGAGATGCGTTACGTATTGGGGACGTGATGGTGCTGGTCGGTGCGTCATGTTGTGCAGTGTTCCGCAGGGATCGGTCTTGGGACCGCTCCTGTGGAATATCGGCTACGACTGGGTGCTGAGAGGTGAACTCCCGTCGGGCGTAGACTTGACATGTTATGCGGACGACACGCTTGTCACTGCCCGGGGAGCTCGTATAGGGAAGCAGCGTTGGTTGCCACGGCTGCGGTGTCACAAGTGATGAACCGCATCCGGCGCCTGGGCCTGAAGGTGGGCTCTAAATATGTCGGAGGCCATGGTGTTCCATGGCCCTCGATGTGCGCCACCGGGTTCACACATTGTGGTCAGCGGGGCCCGGATAGCTATCGAGTCCACCATGAAATATCTGGGATTGGCGCTCGACAGCCGATGGGACCCCACTTCCGGCGGCTGGCGCCCAAGCTGATGGGTGCAGCGGGCGCACTTTCAACGTTGCTTCCTAACTTGGGGGGCCCGAGCGCCGTCTGTAGGCGGTTGTACGTGGGAATCGTGCGGTCCATGTCCCTCTATGGGGCCCCTGTGTGGGTGATGGACATGACGGCCAGCACTCTCGCCATTTTGCGCAAACCGCAGAGGACGATGGCCGTCAGAGTCGTTCGCGAGTATCGCACGATTTCCTACGAGGCGGCTTGCGTCCTGGCCGGATCCCCGCCCTGGGACCTAGAGGCAAAAGTACTCGCGTCATTATATCGATGGCGCGAGGAAGAGCGGGCACGGGGCTCGAGGCCGGTGCAGTGGCAGATCGCGCTGCGCCGAGAGAAGCTCCGTCAGGTCTTGGTGGCGGAATGGCGGCAAAGGCTTCTGCAGCCAACTGCCGACCTTGCTACAATCGAGGCAATCTGGCCAGTACTCGAGGACTGGCTCGGGAGAAGGCACGGCTCCCTGTCGTTTAGGGTGACGCAGGTTAACAGTGGTAGAGCCACGCGGCAGCTTTTGCTGTCGCACGGATGGGCCGGCTCGAACCGAGGTAGTACCACGACCTCACAGAAAACCAGCGTGAAGTAGAGGTTTACCTCTGCGTTTCGCTTGGTGAGTGCATATGGCCGTAGGCCCTTTTTACTGGAAATGAGGCATTCCATCTTAGTCCTCACGGGTGACAACGCATCTACATTTTGATTTGTAACAGATGATAGATGAAGATGTCTATGGGCCGCAGCAATCACTTACCATCAGGTGGACTGTGTGCTCGTTTGTCACCCGCGTGCGCGGGTGTCAGCGCGCGCCCCTGATGCGATACACGGGGTAGTTGAACACCTCACTACCCCGTGCAGGGGATGAGGCCCGGACAGACCGGGCCAGCACTAGTGTGGGGCTGCGGAAGAATTTGGATTCCCGCGGCTCCACGCGCACGTGCGAGGAGACACCGGGATGGTTTTAGCCGATAAGAGTCCAGCACGCCCCTCCGCCTTTCCCCAGGCGGAGGTAGTCCCCCGCTATGAGGATTTCCCCCCGAAAAAAAAGGCGTTGAAGATAATAGCTAAAAGGGTTAACACCTGCTTAGGGAAATTTTTAAGGGCTTGGTTGAAGATGCCATCCGCGCCAGGAGCCTTTTCAGGCTTAAGTCCTTTGATGAGGGATGAAATCTCATCATTGCACACAGTGATAGCGTCAGAAGTTGTGGGGGGTGAGTTCCCGCGGCGAACCTCACCCTCCACTGTCTGGATGTGGGAGGGGTCGGTGGATTGAGAGCTAAGAGAGCATTGTGCGGCAATGTTGTCTGCAAAGCATTCAGCCTTTTCCTCGTCCTTGAAGGCAACCGTACCGTTGGGACGGGAGAGAGGGGGAGTGTGGGTGATAGCGTCTATGCGGAGGGCTCTTGCAATCTGATAGTACGCTTCGACCGTCCCGAAAAAATCGACACTGCGGTCGATTCTCCCTCTACCCTTATAAAATCCTCCATTAAGGAGAATGAAAGGTCGTCCCGGTTGTTAATAATGATAGTCTTCCCCTACATATTAGCAACCTAATTAAATCCAAGAGAGCTGCTTTCTGGAGAGCAGCAATCTATCCCACCTCCGACTATAGGCGTATGGCCAATCGTCTTCAACGAGAAGTCCGTTTCCGCCTCTCCGAACTTCGAGACCTCGAAAATAGTAAGCTCATGGAGAATATCTCTCCCTCTCATACAGCGTACTATCGAAATCGGTTCACCCAGAAAAAAATGTATGAGGTAACACACATAAAAGAAAACTTACAGTCGAATTGAGTACCTCCACCTGTTTGAAGTCGGTAGAAAAACTCCTGGACGATTTTATTAATGAAAATGAAGACTTTCGTATAAGTTTTTTTTTTAAAACTACCTTTGTTTATATTAAAAACTTATGAAGAGAAATTTAGCCTCGGATACTGCTTTAGAGGAACTGCGAAAATTTAATTCTCACGAGACCGCAGTTTGTGTGGAATCGTGCCCGCCACGGATGCGGTGACATCTGCCAACTTAGCATGAGATGATCGCAAGTACGGGCGTACAGGGGGTGATTTTCGATGGATCGATCAGTAAAGACTACGTTTCCATGTACACGCGTCCTTGGATTACGACCGCAGGTCACGTGGGCACCACAGTCTGCAAGATTCTACTAGCTGCTCACCACTACAGCGTCAGCCGCAAACAATCGCACACATAGTGCTGTGCAATTTACTATAATAATTATAGATGTATATTCAACACGGATCACTATCATGCTATCCTCAGATCATAGAAACAACAGGAAATATGGCAAGGAGGCGTGGCGCTTGCGAACGCATCTGGCCGCAAAGCGGCCTGATGCCAGTTTCAGTAATTAGTCGAATGTCAACTTGCGACGTGTTTACTGCTCGTGATTTTTGACTAAATGCCGCGTTGTTCAGTGATCGTTTGCAAAACTAACAGCTATATTGTGAATTACATGAAAGATGGCATCTCATTTCACACGTAAATACTAAAATATTAATGTTTTTCTTATTAAATTCATTAAAACATAACTTCGTGGTACTAGAAACACGATGAAAAACCAAATCAAATGTTTTCATTAGGAACAAAAACCATTGCTTGCTTAGTACACATCGACTAGTGAATCGGCTGGTCTAATAGCGCAATGGATAAGTGTTTTACTGACACTTTCACTCAAACGATAGTTTCGTGAAGCGGCCGCTGCCGGCTTTTGTGAGTTAGAGATGTAATGTGATGTTTGTGGTTGTCGATATTTTATACGATTCTGCTTAGTACGAATGATTATGCATAATACTATTAATTATTGTAAAACATAATTTGTTACTACAGTGTAAGTAACTGCGCATTTTATGGCGTTAATGAAAGTTGTCGTTAAATGGAGATAAGAAAAATGAATATTCTTTACTATTATAATATGTACTTACTAAGAAACTTTAGAAAAAGCGAAACGGTATTTAACTTCTGTAAGGCTTCCAAACGGTAAAAAGGCTATCAGTACACCAAGAAAAACCGGTTTTATTAGCTTTTTAGTGTACACAGAAAGCCTCAAGGCATTGTATATACAACTAGTTAAAAAGGCCATTGTATTGATTAATATTGTTGAACCACAATATTAATTATAATTTATTTATTAATATTTTGTTTTAACTACATATTGTACATTTTTATTATAATATTTTCTGGACATATTGTTCTTTATTTATTTTATTTTAATATCATGACCCCAAAAAATCTTTAGCACAATTATAAATAGAAGAATCGACAACTTTACGATTTAGTCAATCACTAGCGTCTACGTAAAATCCATGCCTTTTGCACAGCTCAACGATAGGGACAGATGTTTTTGGATGAGTAAGTCGTACGGTTCATGGTAAATGCACGCTGTGTATGATAGGATAAGGTTTATAATTGGCTGTGTTGTACGTTCTGATTTATTAAATGCGGATGTGTGCGCGAATGTGTATCTATTGATTTCACTGAACTGCATGTGTAGTAGTTGGCGAGTGGCGAGGACAAACTGGCGACAACAGGTGCCGATACATATTAATATACAGGGCATATCTCCTGTTGTTTCTATGATCTGAGATGCTATCAATGCGGGCGTGAGTAGATATCACTAGAGCATCACTAATTAGCGGCAGAAAAAGATAAGGGAGGACCTGGTAAATTCAGTTTGGCCTATAGTACCGTTCCGGGCAGCTATAGAGAATCGTTTCTACAATTTCAGATTGCAGAACAAACATACGATTTCGGTAGTAGAAATCATTGTTATCATAATTTCCCGGTACAAATATATTTTAATTCTTTATGGATAAAAGTCCACAAAAAACAACGCACATTAAGTACTTTGCTTGAAATAAAACAAAGTTATTTAAATTTTCTCTTTTTGTAATCAAACTTATTTCACTTTATAAACAACATTGTTTAATAATTTACAGTATGCTAAATAGTTAAATATAGATTTTTAACGTTGTTTAACATCGCCTATTTAGCATATTGTGAATTAAAAAAAAGTGAAGGCGACTACGGGAAAGGGCAGAAATACCTTGTAACGATGAAGTATGAATGCTTCCTATGCAGCCCCACTCCCCTCTCGCTATCGAGTCCGAAGACTGAGAAACTCTCTCTCGGGCACGCCAAACAAGCTTTCAGCCGACCTGGACTGCCTCCTGGTAGCTCAGGCCGACTTTCATTATTTTTCCTTAGTTAGGCTCCCCCTCAGCGGCTCGTCGCTGCCTACGCCCACTTTTCCCTAAAGAGGGTCGCTTCCGATTCGGTAGAAAGGCTTCATAAGCCAATGATAGTCTCACAGTTGGTGTTTAGTGGATAGACACTTAGGTAATGTAAGGTTAGTCGCAGTAAGTCCCACATAACCACGACAGCTGGCTGTTTTAAAAAAAAATTAATTTTATATTATAAATTTTATAAACGTTAAAAAGGTTATATTTTAAGAACAAACCTGACTCTCAATTGATATCG